TTCCCCATTTTGAAATTTTTCTGTGTACTGATGATCTTTTGGACTTTTCAGAAAAGCTCAGCTTCCCCTTCAAAGGCTTTGGCATTACCAACTCCTGCTCCATCATCCTCTATTGAGGCTACTTGATCCAAACCGGTTGATGATGGGACCATGCTTAAAGGTATATCTTCAGTCCCAGATTCTTCATCACAACCCATGAATGAGCCATCTTCCTCCCAGGGCGTCGACCCCCCAATCACCGAAGCAGAAGGTAATTCAATTTTTGATGTCTTACCTTTGCCCGTGCTATTGGTTTCTGACTGGTTGCTCTTTGAACTTTGCAGATATTCCCATGGGTCCGCCCGTTGTGGCAACGTCTTCTCGCTCGGACAAGGGGAAGTCCTCACGAATGGATGAGTCGTTGGTGGCCAGCTTGGCTGAGGGTGCGCCATCTTCTACGATTGTCGACGAGGTAGTCTTTCTCTTTGCCCCATTCCTATTTCCAACTTGTTCGTTGTAGTGAATATTTTTAATGTTGGCAATCTTCTTTGCAGGATGCTGACAGGATTGTTCGTTCTATCCAGTATTTGTTCGCTTCCTGGGGGCAAGTCCAAATGCCTCGACCTGCTCCACCTGATTGTCCTGCTGCTTCTTCAGAAGAGGACTTGAAGTTCTTGAAGGAGTTGGTATTTGAGTACGTGTCCTTCATGGACATGGACATTGGAAGGGCTAGTGCTGCCAGACACAAGGATGAACTTGAGAGTTTGAGTGCGAAATTAGAGCAAGCACTGACGCTTCCGTCGCTTAATCTTTCTGCCGACTTTAAAGCGATGTTGAAGGTCATTCACTCCGAGGTCCTTACTATGCTGGCCAAGAATGCTGAACTAAAGGCCAAGTGTACTCAATATCTTCGAGCCGTAGCTGAGAAAGAGTCTCTGTGCTTGGAGATCAACAAGGCTAAGGACGAGTTGCAAGAAATCTCTTCCGAAGTCATGATTGAAGACTCCTTGATGGTTAACTTGGCTGCTCAGATGAGGGAACTTCAAGCCGAAATGGACGATTGCAGGGCGAGGTGGCTGCTAAAAAGCGCAACGCCTCTCAGGGAATTGAGCGAACTAAATCCTTGGTCGAACAGTACAAGAAGCTGGAGGTTGATGATGATGACGTTGCGGCTGAATTGAACATCACTACCTCCCGACAGAACGAGGATTGGGAAAAACTTAGGGAACGAATTCGTTCCTTATAGGGTAGAATGTAATT